GTTTAATAATTCTATTGACATGGCTAAGTTTAGGGTATGACTCTGGTACCATGTTAGGCTCAGTTTCTCCAAAAGGTCAAAGGTCTCATACCAATAGAGATAGTATTCTTCACCAAAAGGTCAAAGGTCTCGTACCAATAGAGATAGTATTCTTCACGATCTTTTATTTAGGACTCACTCTCAATCTCAATAACATCTTTAGAGGACTCACTCTCAATAACATCTTTAGAGGCCTCTCTCAATAACATCTTTATTTATTGTATGAGGCCTCTCATGGTATTAGAGACCATAGAAACAAAGGAGTCGTAAGTTTGGAAGGTGGTCTAGTAAAAAGTGACGAAATAGTGTACTTAGTTCGAGGGCTTTAAAGAAGTAAGTCGAGTATCGGCGGCGGCATATGCTTTGGAGAGGCTCTATGGTGTATTTTATTTTGAGGGTTCGAGAGGAGGAGTCGAGCTTCGATTAAGGGGAAGGTTGTTCTTTAGGGGAGAAGGCCTCCAGTGAAGTTCTATGGTGTATTTTGTTCTCCTCTCCCTCGGAGAGGATTGTTGAGAGAGGAAGGGGGAGAGAATTGTCGAGAGAGGAAGGGGGAGAGGATTGTTGAGAGAGGAAGGAGATGATCATCAATGGTATGCAGTGCCAGGTTCATCTCTGTTGGCCTAAGAATACTCGAGATGAGCTTCAGCCATGTTTACAGTTCTTGAACATGAGGCTCGGTTCTTACATATATCCACTGTTTTAAAGCAAGTGTTCTAACTTGAAGCCGCATCAATCATTATTAGCCTTCACCAGTATACATTCCAAACATGTTCTATCTTTAATCTTCGTCTACCTTTCAAGAATTCAATCAGCTTTACCTATGTCACAGTACACAGCACAAACACAAACAAAACTAGCATGTTCTATCTTCATTGGATTTCAAGCCCTATCTAGATCCTTCACATGGGCCAACTTGAACAATGTTTAGTGCCCTCTTTTTAACTATCTCAGGTTTCAATTATCGCTATAACACTGCACAAGAATGATACTTCTAACTAGTTTTTATGAAACTAGTGATACCCAAATCCATCTTTTACCTTCAAGAAACGAAGTTTGTGATGAATGCAACTCCGCCATTTCTCGAGCAATCCAGCCACGTCCCGCCGCCCAACCCATCTCTTCCGCCCTAAATTTCGCCACATTCCCACCATGCCACCGGCTTCGTGAGCCTGAACAAGTAAAACCAGATCAATTTCAGAAAATTTGAAACTATCGATCAATTCCCCCTAGAAAACGAAGAAAAACGGCATTAAAATTGGACGAACCTACTGCGATCTTCGTCGCGGTTGAGTGGAAGGAAGAATGATGGATATAGCGTCTGAGGAACGGCCATATTTGCTCGTCAAACTTCACTAGAAAACGCATCCACTAATGCGCTTCTCAAATATCCACTCTGGTTTGAGGCTCTCCAATTCGATTTCAACCATCAAAGAAGCATCATCTTCCGGAAAATGGCGAGAAGCTCTCCAACTTTACCGCGAAATCAGAATCTCTGGATCTCAATTGCCAGACTCCTCGGTGCTCCCGTCGATTCTCAAAGCATGTTCCAACGTTTCTTTCAAACTTGGAACCGCTATGCACGGATGTCTGATCAAACAAGGATGCGAATCTTCCACCTCCGTTGCTAATTCCACTATTGACTTGTATATGAAATGGGGTGACTTGGATTCCGCACACCGCGCTTTTGTTTCTCTGAAGAACAAGGATTCGGTGTCTTGGAACGTGATGGTTCATGGGAATTTCTCCAATGGGGGGGTAGTGGCAGGCTTGTGGTGGTTTAAAATGGCCAGATTCGCCAATTTTCAGCCCAATGTTTCTTCGTTGGTACTTGTAATTCAGGCATTTCGTGAGCGTAAATCATATAGTGAAGGCTTTGCGGCTCATGGTTATATAATTCGCTCTGGTTTCTCTGCCATTCTTTCGGTTCAAAACTCTCTGTTGAGCTTATATACTGAAGTTGATATGTTTTTTGCCCACAAACTGTTCGATGAAATGTCTGTGAGAAATGATATCGTTTCCTGGAGTGTGATGACAGGAGGTTTCGTGCAAATTGGGGAAGATGAACATGGGCTGCTGATGTTTCGAGATATGGTGACAGAGGCTGGCATTTCACCTGATGGGGTAACCATTGTAAGTGTTCTAAAAGCTTGCACCAACTTGAGAGATATTTCACTTGGAACAATGGTGCATGGATTGGTGGTTTGTAGGGGCTTGGAAGATGATTTGTTTGTTGGGAACTCTTTGATAGACATGTATTCCAAATGTTCCAAGGTTCATTCTTCATTTAAAGCTTTCATGGTGATGCCTGAGAAGAATATCGTCTCGTGGAATTCGATGTTGTCGGCGTATGCCCTCAACGAGAAGCCTTTGGAAGCTGTGGCGTTGCTTAGAACAATGGTTGAAGAAAGGGTTGAGAAAGATGAGGTGACTTTTGTGAATGTTCTTCAGATAGTTAAGCATTTTCTGGATTCATTACAATGCAGGTCTGTCCACAGCGCGATTATAAGGCGGGGATATGAATCGAACGAATTGGTGATGAACTCTGTGATTGATGCTTATGCGAAATGCAATCTGATTGAGCTTGCAGGCATACTTTTTGATGGAATGAAGAAGAAAGATGTAGTTACTTGGAGCACCATGATTGCAGGCTTTGCCTACAATGGCGATCCCGACAAAGCGATATTGATCTTCAAGCGGATGAATGAAGAGGTGAAACCGAACAAGGTATCGATTATGAATCTTATGGAGGCTTGTGCTGTTTCTGCTGAATCGAGACGATCGAAATGGGCTCATGGTATAGCTGTTAGAAGAGGTTTGGCTAGTGAAGTAGCTGTTGGAACTGCCATTATTGACATGTACTCAAAATGTGGAGATATAGCAGCCTCCATTAGAGCCTTCAACCAAATCCCAGAAAAGAATGTCGTCTGTTGGAGCGCTATGATATCTGCCTTCGGCATCAACAGTCTCGCTCACGAAGCCTTACTTTTGTTCGAAAAGATGAAACAAAACGACATGAAGCCGAATGCTGTGACCGCCCTGTCATTGCTGTCTGCTTGTAGCCATGGAGGACTAGTGGAGGAAGGGCTCTCTTTTTTCACATCCATGGCGAAGAAACACGAAATTACACCTGGTTTGGAGCATTACTCATGCGTGATCGACATGTTAGCTCGAGTGGGGAAATTCAAAGACGCATTAGAGATTATTGAGACGATGCCTGAAGAAATGGAAGCAGGGGCCAGTATTTGGGGGACACTATTGAGCTCTTGTAGGAGCTATGGAAACATTATGCTTGGCTCGGGAGCGGCCTCTCGTGTTCTTGAACTCGAACCGTTGAACTCGACTGGCTACATGCTTGCGTCGAACTTGTATGCGAACTGCGGGCTAATGAGTGATTCTGCAAAGATGAGGAGGTTGGCAAAAGAGAGAGGAGTCAAGGTTGTTGCTGGATACAGTTTGGTGCATATTAACTCACAGAGTTGGAGATTTGTTGCTGGAGATGAGTTCAATCCAAGAGCTGATGAGATTTATTTAACGATTGAACAATTGCACAGTGTAATGAAGATTGATTATTTGAAAGTTTTAGATGCTATTCAAATGGACATGTATTTGATTTGATGTAGAGTCGGGTTTTTCTTCTCGGTCGGGATCTCATTTCCTGGAGCGCAACAAAAGAAAGGAAGGCGTCCATGTAGCTACTGTGCTTGCTCCCTCGACCTCCACTGATCATAGCTGACAAAGATGCACCAACTAGTAAGTCGGAACAACAGAAAGGAAGGGGTCTATGTAGTTGTTGTGCCCGCCCCTCAGCGTCCGCTAATCATAGTCGACAAAGAAGCACAAACTACCATAGCCGCCTACTTTTCCAGCTTCATCTGCAACTGTCAGAACACATAGCAAACGGCAACAAGCTAATTTTACTTGGGATTTTTTTTTTTCAAAATTGTGGTGTACGTTCTTTGCATGTATCATGCTTCAACAAGTTACGCCCTGTTAAAGATTAGAGATGGAACGGGTACTATGCCTCTGTCTTTGACCGATCGACCCTTCTTACCTTACTTCGAATGGAAGCTTTCAACCTTTTATTTAATCCGTTAGATCAATCACTTGGGCACTTTAGCCTACCAACGAACAATTCTTTGTTTGAGAGGAAGATTATATGGTCCGATAATTAAAAAAAAAAATCATAGTTTTCAAGTGAGAGTCATACGTCTGTAATGCATTGTATGTCCCATAATAGGTCCCATTCTTCTACCCTTTCCCGGGAGCCGATGACTATTCATAGCTATTACCTTGACACCAAAGAAGAGTTCGACCCAATGCTTTATTTCTGTCCTAGTTGATCCCGATTCGACATTAGAAGTATATTGATTTTTCCCCAATAACCGAGTACTTTTGTCTGTAAATACTGCATATTTGATTCCATCCATAAATTTTCTTCCCTATGAGTTCGAGTCTCAATACGAATGCCAGTTCTTACTGTTCATATGTTATGATATGAATATACCACATCAATTCCTTATATATGGATGATGAGATTCCATCGATACAGAGCTTAGTATTTCCATCTGCATGATGTTGGATTGGTGAGTGTCATCTATTCTAATCACTTTATCACACTACTTAAATTTATGGTTCACTTCTTTTTTTCGAGTAATCGGCATATTTCAGATAGCTTTTATTATAGTCAAAATGTTGCTTATGGTACCACATCACGACAATAATATGAACGGTCGAGAAAATTTAAAAAAAAAAAGAATATATATATATATATATATATATATATATATATAAATGATTTAAAATAGGAATAAAGTAATGGGTATGAAATTTATTGATGAATTGTGTATATAAATGTATGAGTATTGAACAACAAATTTAGTTTTGTATTTGAGATTTGGAAATTGAGTTAAAACATTTACAAGAAAGTTTGTAATTTTCTGGGAAATTTCGAAAATCAGAGTTTAATTAGGCCCTAATCTCAGATCCAAAACAATCCCTGAACAATAGGATGATGAACGTTCTTCAATGTCTTCCATTGGAGGAGGCAAATTCAAGTCCAAATAACCATGATCATCATCATCATCATCTTCTTCTTCTTCTTCTTCTTCTTTCACGTTCTTCCGGCTGCCTATCTGTTCAAACACTAACGCCGTCAATTCTTGATTTTCTCGACAATCACCGTCCGTTTCAGTAACCGCTTCAGTTGGATCGATCGCATTAGGGCCATTCGCTAGCATAATCAAACAGGCAGCGATTTCGTGATCTTCGTCAGTGGCAGTCGATCGGCGGAAATTCGGCGGCGGATTGATTCCTCGCCATTGACGCTCAGGATGGCAGCGCATGTGGCCGAACAGAGCCTTCCATGACCAGAACGTCTTGCCGCACTCAGTACAGGGGCGAGTGATCTTGGGAGCGGTCGGGTCCGGTTTCTTGGCGTGCTTGGACTTGGGAGTGGAGGGAGAATGAAGAGGGGCGGCGGTGGGTTTGATGAACTTAGTACGCTTCCGGCGGGAATTGGGGGGCGGAAGGGAAGAATGGGAGGGAGAGGGAGGGGGGAAAACGGTGAAGGGAAACAGAGAATGGGAAGGAGAATCCATAATGGGAAGAGAATTTGAAGTAAAAGAGTAGAAAGATGGAGGAGGAGTGGTTTTTGTAGACATTACACACACAATAACTGAAATTCAGTTACACCCCTTCACATTTGAATTTAAGCGGTTTACTTTTTATTTATTTTTTTCATAAATGTTTTTAGAGTTAGTTAACATTGGTGGAAGGGTAGTTTTGTAATTTCCCTTCTTCATTTAATTTTAATATTTTTTAAATGAGTTGTTTCGCTTCGTATAAAATTGAAGATTTAAGGTTATATAAGAGAAAAAAAAGTTATATATATATATAGAAATGAAAGAAAAAATAGGGAATAGAGTCAAAACTCAATGAGTAAATAGGGAGAGGAGAAAGATCAGAGCTAAGATTTCGAGAAGGGACAAGTGAAGAAGTTCAATCAGGGAGAGGTGAAGGAGTTCAATCAGGGAGAGGTTCACAATCACTTCACTCAAATAACGAACAATAACTTCAGGGAATAGAGGTGAATAACGAACAATAACTTCAGGGAATAGAAGTGAAAAAGTTTAGAGTGTTTACTGTTGGTTCAATCAAACACCTATATATAGAGGGTTTATACTTAGAAATTTTTTAATATATATATATATTTATTGGCCCGAATCTGATTAACAAATAATTAAATTACATACGTAACAAGTTATGTATTTCTTTCACATTTTTTTTTTCTTTTCGTATTTTGTGTTCATGGATAATTATAAACGGTAAATACAAGTAACATTTATACATTTTTTCACTTTATTTTAGTAAACAAATTGATTAAATTGATTTGGATTGAAAAAAGATGATTTTAATTAATCTTAAATTCATTATTTCAATTTAATTTCGTTTTTAGTTTTAAGTTTGAAAAACTCAAGTTTATCTATAAAAATTCGGCCTATAGATCACAACCAAATGAACAGTATGATTAAATAGACACTCACACCAAAAGTGTACAAGTATGTTGTGTTGATTTTCCTACAAATTCGACCTGGCTTGTCGAACGGGACTCGTGTTGACTAACCTAACCAATTGAATAGCGACTAATCTCGAACACCTGCGTATGGAATTGGATCAACAGGGAGAACAAAGAGAAAGGAAGTATAGGAGGGTGTGACCAGTAGGGGATTTTGTTTCCATTCTTGTTCCTGGTAACAGTCAGCAAGGCATGCAGTTGCAAGCTTTTGTTACAACCTTTGCAAAACAAATGAAAAATATCGTTTATGAAATAGTTGGCAGAATATTACAAGAAACCAGCAAGCTTCCGGTTGTTGGCGACCGAGAATTGTGAATTCAGAACAAACTCGATTCAACTGCAATCGAGTACGTTTTCATCGTCCAACCGACGTGAAGAACAACAGTATGCTGCACATACTCTTACGTCTCTGAACCGTCGTGATGAGTCAACGGCGTTTTGATACTCTTTACAGGATTTCCCAGCACATTCAAAACCCCAACTCGCTGCAGCTCTTTTGCTGTGATGAAGAAAAGAGGAATTTTAAGTTACTATGATCATGTTCCAAAGCAGAAGGAAGCTGTTTGATGTTTCATATATTGAGCAGACACGTATGGTTGATACAAGTTACCACGGGGCTGAAATGAAAAGAAGCTTCGAACTTACTTGTTAGGAACCACGACCCTCTACAATGATATGATATTGTCTACTTTGAGCATGAGCTCGCATGACTTCGCTTTTGATTTCCCTAAAAGGCCTCGTACCAATGAAGATGTATTTCTTACTTATAAACCCATAATCAACCTCTTAACTAGCCAATTTGAGACTACCAACAATCCTCATTAATCCTCTCCCCGAACAAAGCACACCATAGAGCCTCTCCTGAGGTCTATGTAGCCCTCGAACAGTCTCCCTTAATCGAGGCTCAACTTCTTTCTCTGGAGCCCTTGAACAAAGTACACCCTTTGTTCGACACTTGAGTCACTTTTGCCTACACTTTCGAGGCTAGCAACTTTTTTGTTCGAAACTTGAGGATTCTATTGACATGCCTAAGTTAAGTGCATGACTCTGATACCATGTTAGGAACCACGACCCTCCACAATAGTATGATATTGTCCACTTTGAGCATAAGCCCCATAACTTTTGGTTTCACCAAAAGGCTTCATTCTAATGGAGATGTATTTCTTACTTATAAACTCATTATCAACCGCTTAATTAGCAAATGTCGGACTCCCAACCATCCTCAACATCAACATTACTTTGAGGAGATCTATAGTGATTTGATATTAATCCATTTGCAGACTACTAATTTTCCCCAGATCATAAAAAAGGAAAGTGAAATTATGTAAAACCAGAAATCAAACTACCTTCTTCAAGCGAGAGCTGAATGGATCTCCTTTCCAATTCGACTGCATGTCTGCTAAGTTCAACCGATGAAAGCGATCGAAGCACTGATAGAAGTGTGAAATTATCCATGAAGTAAATAAGGATCAGTCAAACCATTTCAGGAATAAGATAAAGCACTTTCTTAAATGCAAAGCAAAAGCATACCCTGAAGATAATCTTGTTGATCAGATTGGTCCAATTTATTCAATAACAATTGCAACTGATGATATCTGTCTTCCCACTGCAAATTTTTCCATCCTGAAGGGACAGTAGAAGGTGCAGGATGGAAGTTCGATTCTGCTGTGGCGAAATTAATGCCATATTTTCCAACGTGATGAGGAACTGAAGGTTTTCCAGATGCATTCATGGGAGACACCATTGGAAAAGGAGCAAATGCTGGAAAGCAACGAGTCTGTAGCTCCTTAACCTGGGATTTGAGATGCGCGGTTTCAGCTAGTTGACCGAGTTTACTTAGATTTGGATAATCACCTTTTATGTTCGTACTATCACAAGGACTATTCTTCCCAATATCTGCCTCGGACTTTCTACGGACGTAAACAAGATGCCCATTTGAAGCATTAGAAGTCGAAGAATGGAGATGAGACGGAGTTGCTGGGTTGTTACCAGAAACTTTAATGAAGTCACTACTCGGACCTCTTTCCTTCAAAAGAGGAGAGCTTCCAGTACAATTGGAAGCTGTGACCCTATTATCATTTTGCAAGTCCCTTAATGCTGTCTTCTTTGCAGAAATCTGCAGTTGCTTTTCCTGAGAAGGCACGTCCTTCCCAGAATTTCCATGTCCATATTCACTGAATTTGGAGTCTATGGATTTCTGAACCATCTGAAAAGTTTAAAAGTTTGAAGGGTTACATAATGCATACATTGGAGATGAACAATAAATGTCAGGGCGTGGATTTAAAACCCTTTAGATATCAGTATCATTCAAATTAACACTCAGAAGATACACATGGATATACGAACAATAAATGTTAGCTTATGAATAATAAATTTCAGGTCATGGATATATATCCATTTTGATGGAAGCTCTCATAAGGAAAGATAATTAATGAGAATGCTTTCTATTTGAGAAGCAATATTTCCATTTTGTTAGAGCGATTATTTTCAAAAATCATCCAACAAGATGAGCTTTAAAAACTATTTTCCGCGTCTTAGAACCATAAAAAGAAATCAAATGTCAGACTTCCCAGTTCTTCGAGCAATCATAGAATCTCCAATCATGACCATTTTTCCTTGTTCAGCAACACTTTCCTAAGGGGCAAACTTCTCATAATTCCAAAACCCCTGCCTTTCTTCATACTTCTACTATTTACAGTCGTGACAAATTCCCTCTCTCCCGTCTAGATACCCACATTCTAATTATGGATTTCTTTCGCCACCCTTCCTCACTCGAGCCTTCAACCCTCTCTGATTCTTAGGATGATTACCTTTCTATTAGTTGCAACATGAAGAACATGTCTTAACTTATGGGTCAAATCAAGAAATCAGTGTGCTATACTATTTATTACCGAAGGCTTAGGCCTCTATGGGACCAACTGAACATGAGGGACTCCTTTCAATTAGGCTTAAGGTTTACAATAAGCTGTTCGACGTCTAACAATATAAGGGTAAATTGTTAGATAATAAAGCAAAAGAATACAAGATATATTAAATATCAACCAGAATAACACAAATTGTCCCAAGAAAATATTGCAGCAGCACCACATTTCCAAGGTATTTACAGTAAGAATTAAGATTTTCCTATTGAATGCATTTGGATAGGAATTTCTTTCATCAACCACAGCCCTAGAATATTCTTTGATATAGGTAAATTGACAAAGCTTGTTGCTAATCGAAGCCGCTTTGCTTTACACACAATGGAGCTGAATCTCAGAGCTAAAGGTAAAGTCACCAGAATGGCCGAAATCCAATGCATTAAACTCACCTATTGAAATTACACTGAAAGCATACAAACTTGAGGAGCATAAACTATTAAGTATCTTGCTTCCTCTACGAGTTTCCAGTTTCTCCTCGTTTCTCTTACGATTAAAACGCGAAAGTGCAGGGCTTATACGAATGAAATTTTGAAGCAGATGAGAAAAATAAACGCGCATCAATAAATTCTTAAAATATGAAACTAGCTCAGAGAAAACCTAGGTAGAAATCAAATCGAAGCAGAAGTAAATTCAGGAGAACTCCTACGACAAAAGACGAGCTGATCATCTTCTCCATTTGAAAAATAACACAGAAATCGAAACCTCTTCGTGAAAAAGGAAAATTCGTCGAACGAAATCGGAAACAGATTGTATGAAAAGCATTCGTTCTTACCTTAGCTCATTGGAAGCGCTCCGATGGAGAAGGGAGTGCCATGTGGAATCGGAAGGAAGAAGAAAGCTTCGATTCTCAAATTCATACAGTTTCTTCACTGCTCAGTCCATCAAATTACCTTGAAAATGGATTTATATTTCCTCATCAGAATCAAATTTGGACACAAAATGTTCAAGCTGCTGCAAATTCGGAGAGGATTTAACAAGACGAAAGACACGTGGATCATCATGGCTCCTCAAGGCCAAAACTATATAATAATAATAATAATATATGAAAAGCTCAAATTTAGGTCAACAATTATATTTATATCTACTAAATCTAAATTAGATATAAATAGATGTTAAAAAAAAATTCATAAAAACATATATAATCAATACAAATAAACAAATGGATGGAAATAATACTTATTTTCTCTTAAATATTTATGATGATTTTCATATTTGCTAATAATACATTCCAAATCATACCCAAATTTCAAAAATAATTTTTTTTTTTTTAATTTTCAAAATTTTGTTGAATTTTTAAAAATAGTCAACGAAACATAAATAAATTTTGCTAGAATTATTATTTATAAACTTAGTTTTTAAAAATAAAAGACGAATAATATGAACTCGAGATTGTTTATTGGTCTTACTGCTTAGCTCCTTCACCTTTTCCTTCTTTCATTTCACGTCACGGGGTATAAGAAAATTCAGTTATTGTGAGTTTTTCTTTCATTTTCTTCTATTTTTTCTGATTTCTTAAAGTAAAGCAACTGGATGATTAACATCGAGAAGGCTTCTAGCTTCTCTGCCTGAAAAGCTTTTGGCCGTGAATTAAAAGTCTTTGTGAGAAGCCCTCTCTAGACCACAAGAGATAGTTAGTTACCCATCGTGACGCTCACCCACTTCACTTGCATCTATGGAGGCTCAATCCGAGCAGGTTCAGATCACTTACAATACACAACTAAGACATCAATTATCGTCCCAAAGATCATTGATTCAATCTTTCCTCCAGTAATTGTTGAATACAGTTTTTTTTTAGTATAACTGTATCATCGCCTCACAATTTTAAAACACATTTGCTATAGAGAGGGTCTAGCCCTACTCTGACTAGTGGCTCTCACCATTCAACAACTGACTTTGATACCTATTTGTAATAGCTCAAGCCCATCGCTAGCAGACATTGTCTGCTTTGGCTCGTTACGTATCACCATCAGCCTCGCGATTTTAAAACATATCTGTTAGGAAGAGGTTTCCATACCCTGTAAGGAATGTTTCATTCCCCTCTACAACCGAGGTTAAAGAATGTTTCATTCCTCTCTACAACCGAGGTGAGATCTCATGCCCCTGTAAGGAATACGTACTTTACCAACAAATTGGGCCGTGACAATAAAAACTTAACCGAGCAAAAATCACGATAAGAAATTGGGGTTGGGCCGTGACAAAAATCACGACACGTACATCGTTAACAAATATTATTCGCTTTGACTTGTTACGTATCATCATTTTAAAACACATTTGCTATGGAGAGGGTCTAGCCCTACTCTGACTAGTGGCTCACACCGTTCAGCGACGGAGTTTGATACCCATTTGTAACAGCTCAAGCCCATCACTACCAGATATTATCTGCTCTGGCTCATTACGTATCACCGTATAAAACCAAATGCAACAAATGGGTATCAAAGTTTCTATACTCCTGTAAAGAATCCCTTCTACAACAAATGCAACAAAAAGATTGTTTTCATACTCCTATAGGGAATAGGAACTTTACCAACAAATGCAAAAATTACGATAGAAACTAAACCGGGGTACTCGGTTCATCTTTTCCTTGCATAAAACCATAGGCTAAAAACACCTCTTGTTATACACCATTACATAACTAAAAGGCTATGTACAGAGTGGTTCGTTGGCTTTGACATGTCAACTTCTTGAAAAAGCCACATTGAGAGCAGCAACAACAATAAGAGGCAAATGTAAAAAGAAGAAAAATTCTGATTTACAGTTCCTAAAATACAATGATCACAGATCTTTAAATGTCAAGGAATGTGTTCACATTTGCTCATATACTGCAAAAGCGAGCTTGCTTTTCTCTGTGCTCTACTTGTTCCACATCTTGTCAGCTCTACCAAATGTTCATATACACCAAACTGCAGCGCAACCAAAATGGAAGGCGAATTGTTTCGTCCCAGCTCGAGAAGTAACGACGTGGCACATTCCTTGTTCTTCGGTGTCCCTTCGATTATGATGTTCACTAGAATCTCGATGAAAGAGTTACGTCCGATCTCGGTCCGTCCCTCGGGATGTGATGCGAGGAGTAACAAGATCGATAAAGCTTCATCAACCATTCCTAAGTTCTTATCCTGAAGTAAAAAGAGAAGGGGCTGTATGATGCCGGCTTTGATCGCTCGGGACTTGTTTGCTTGATTCATCGACAGGTTAAAGAGTGCAGTAGCTGCATCCTTCTTCCCTCGGATCGTACCGTCTCGAAGAAGCGCTACTAATGGCGGGATTCCCTTTAGAGTTCCAATCAGAACCTTGTTTTCATCTAGCATTGACAAGCTAAACAGTGCAGCAGCAGAATTCTCCTTAGCCTCCTCTGTTCCATGCTGCAAGATTTCTATGATAGCAGGAATGGCTCCTTCTCTTGCTATGAGTCTTTTATTCGCGTCGTCGATCGACAAGTTCAATAGAGCGGTCACCGTGTGCTCTTGGAAATTGAGATCTGGGTAGGATAGAAGCTTAACCAACGGAGGGATGACTCCGCTATTCGCGATCCAAACTCTATTCTCGGGGTTCTCCTTGGAGAGGACACGGATCTTGATGATAGCCTCTTTCTGAACATCCAACTGACTCGACGATAGATTGTGAACTAAAGAGGAGATTTCCCGAGCGAGATCAGGCGGAGTATCGCCGAATCCAGAACCTACTTCCTTCTTCGGCAATTCATAGTCGTGCTTTTGACACCATTGCAAAATGAGGTTCTTGAGGGCATAATTTGGAGCTAGTGACAAATGCACCAAAGTTTGTCCTGTTTTCGGGCATGTCTGGTGGTTCGAATTCAACCATGTCTGTATGCTATCACGGTCGTACGTCTGTCAAGCGACAAGGTTAACCCGCTCAGTTTACAAATCATTGGCAGAGTTCCATACAAGAACATCAGATTTTATTTCCAGCTCAAGATACAAGAACACTAAGAACAAACTTAAATCAGCTATCACAACATTTCAACTGATATCAAGATAGCTCAAGCATGTGTAGCATATGATATCAATCAAGCCAAAGAATGCAAAATAGATACCTGCCCAGTAGCCACAATCACAGGATCTGTCATGACTTCCAACGAAATGGGACAAAGGAATTCATGAGGGATTAACGTAGACCGACACCGTTGCAGACGTTTCAACACAACAGGAGCAGCACCAGAAGCAACACTATTCTCCATACCTGCAATTTTCTTAAACTTGCATAGAAGTTCCATAATTTGCTGGAGACTTTCAGGATTTGACACACATCGACGTTGAACCAACTTTTGTATAGCTTCGGTTTCGGCTTCCAAATCTGCAACCTTATGCAGTTCCAATTTATTTGCTAATCTTCCAAGTATAACAGGATCAGCATTTCTCTCATCATTTTTCGAAAACACAACCATCATATCCATTGCTAACTCCATATCTTGTGTATCTTTCCTACACTTCGCTCGTTTGAGCTGCGTCGACATCAGCTCAACCTGAACGAACGAGTATATAAATCAATAACTACTTCTAAAACCAAAATCAGTAAACTAAGAACGTGTTCGGAATAACTTTTCAAGTGTTTTCAAGCATCGAAAAACTCATTCTAAACATGTTCTAATGAATTACGAGAGACCGTTCGGATTAAACTGAAAAAACAAAACAAATCATGAGACCTACAGATGATAATCTCATTACAGAGAGTTACTAAACAAACAAACAATCAATCAAAAGGGTGAAGAAATCTACTTGTTCTTTCAGTTCAACAGAGACTCCAAGTTCATCATAAGGTATCCCATCAAGGGCTTCCTTCAATTTGTCATAAACAGCATGAAATCTCGCCATCACAGCCTCATTATCAAACGCCTAGATAAACAAACGCTCATAAAATCACCAAAATAAGCATAATCATATCATCAAAAACTAAGAACAAAGTAATCAAAGAGTAAGAACAGACTAACCAGATAAATCTTGCTCCCATTGTGGCAGTTCTTCAGCAACCTTTTGGCTAAAAGAAGCGCCTCTTTCAATTGACCAATATGGGAACTCAAACCCTCAGCAGGAACCATATCATAAAGGTCACGAATCTCCTCCAACAACGGCGCGAGCATCTTCAATCTCCTAACCAAATTCAAACACTCCTTGGATTGCGTTTTCCGAAACCCAGAAAAACCCACAATAACTTCGATTAAATCATTAGCTTCCTTCAAATCTTTAAGAACATCGACGGTTCCATCTGGACCGCCATTAGAAACCGATGAACGTGGGCTCAAACCATTATTTCTGATCAATTTCGCTCCACATTCATTCTCCATACCCACCTGTTGTTCTTCGTTTTTTCTGTTTTCCCTGTTTTCCTTCAACAAACTCTGACCCTTTGGAGTTTGATTGGAGTTCTAAAGTGGGTGTGGGGATTTTGATTTAAAGACGCCCTATTTTCCCGGAAAATTGAGACATTTTCCCGAGAAAGAGAAAAGGAAAAAAGTAACGGTGGTGTAGAAACTGATTGGACGAAGCGGCGTTCGCGGGTTTTATGGTTTTGCTGTGATTACCATATTGGAGCGACGAATTGCAACCCATCTCACGCCTGTTCATACCCAAAATAACATTTTTCATCCGAAATTCCCTCTAAATAATTTTCTTTTTCTTTCAATTTATCTTCATTTTTTCAATATAACTGAAATTAAGATAATACAAAAATCAAGATTTCAGTTGCCAATCAATAAAAGCCTTCCTTTAATTTCTGAAAATTAACTACTAAAATAAAAATTATTTAAAATTATAATTTTGAAACGTTTATGAAAAAATTAAGAGTAATATTACAAGTATTTACGAAATATTTAGCGGTTTTTTAAAAATTATTTTTAAATATTTATGTCGAAGAAAAATGTGCGGATACAGTCTTAGGAATCACATGGCACATGGGTATTGTGCCTTTTGAACAATTGGGGGATCATCTCTCGTGCAAGCACTACAAGGAATATTCATTTTGAGTATAAAAGAAGAAAAAAGAATAAATAAAATTATAAATTTAGTTTTAATTTAAGTTTGTTTATTTCGTCCATAAATTTTAGACGCGTTTCAAAATTGTGAGACTTACAACGATATGTACCGAGTCAAAGTGGACTATGATCTTGAGCTGTTACAAATAAGTTCGAAGTTAGACACTGAGCAGTATACCAACAAAAATTTTGGGACTCCAGGAGGGTGGATTGTAAAATCTTTAGTAGACGCGTTTTAAAACGACGACAATACGCCATCGGTGGTACAAAAATCCTACATTTTTTGTTTTTTAATTTTTAATTTTAAATTTTAAAAATTGATTAATTTTTTTTAGTATATATAGACCTCAATTCATTTTTGTTAAATTAAAATATATTATAATATAATATTGTAAAATAATATATATATATATATATATATATATATATATTTCAAACATAAAACATGTTCATAAACTAATTAATAATAGTTTGTATTCAGATTGATACATTATCAAAGCTATTTTTAACGATTAAAATAAAATCTGAAAATATGGAAAATAATGAATTCATTGTTTTCAAATTGCTTATTAAATATATATATATATATAGTTTGTAAATAATAAAATATTTTAAAAGGGAAAATGAAATAAATAAAAAATAAATAAATAAAATATGAATTGAATATTGTGAGTGAAGAAGACGCGTAATCACGTGGTGAAATTTGGGGATTTTCACGAGCTGTTTTGTTGAAGTGTTGACTAAGTCTTCGCTTAAGAGCTGGGAGTGGAAGCGTTAGAGAAGGGGTAGCCGGGCAGGGCAGGGCAGGTTGCACATTCGTCTCCGGGCAGAGGGTCCCATAGTCGGTTAACCGACAGCGAAATCTAGTGGTGGGGTCCACATCCGATATTGTTGTTTTGCATACAGCCAAAGAATGGGCTTTCAAGTAGACTGTTTAGTTAGTTAAATAATATTATTTTTATTTTTATTTTTATTTTTATTTAATTTTAGGTATGGAGTTTGGTTTGGATGGGAAAAACCTTCCAGCAATCATTAATTGACGGTTCGGTTGTGGGTTATCATTAATAATATAACACGGCTTCCATCTTTTTCATTTATAAATCTTTAAATAACTACTTTTTTTTTTTTCTCTTATATTTTTGATAATTCAATCCAATTTTCATGGTGGATTTAATCATAGTTCGATTAATGTCGGCATGAACTCAACCCTTAAAAACTATTATTTTAATATTTTTTTTTTAATTATGTTGTTTCTTTTACTAAATTCTATATATTTTTTAATTTTAAATTAAAAAACTATTTATAAACTTAATTTTAAAAAATATAATAGATTAAATTAATATCTAAAAAAATACTAAAAGAAATGACATATTACGGTGGATTGCGGTGTAATAGCGGTGGATTGAAATTATCTACGTACATAGTTTACGTGTTTGAATTTTGATTGTATAATTGGGTCTTTGTTGCTTTTTAATTTGGAAAGATTAACAGGAGAAAAATGTAATTGTCCAAACCCACCACTAGTAGATATTGTCCTTTTTGAACTTTTCCTTCTTAGTTTTCCTAAAAGTTTTAAAACACTCTACTAGAGAGAGATTTTCACACCTAAAGAATGTTTAGTTTCTCTCTCCAATCGACGTGGGATCTCACAATCCACCCTCTTTCGGGACCCAATATCCTCGTTGGTACTCTGCTCAGTGTCCATCCCTTTCGAGACTCAACGTCCTCTCCCTAGCACCCTCTTTCGGGACTCAATGTCCTCGCTGGTACTCTGCTCGGTGTCCACCCCCTTCGAAACTCAACGTCCTCTCCCTAGCAGACACATTTTAAAATTTTAAGGTGAAGTTGAAAAAAAAAAACTACTTGCAATGAGCGGTTACAAAAAAAAAAAAAAAAAAAAAAAAAAAAAAAAAAAAAAAAAAAAAAAAAAAAAA